TTTCCCTAGAGTAATTCAGTTAAAGTTTCCCTATCCAATTTCTTTTTCCTCTTAGGTTCATTCTGTATAGAGAATTAAATGGGAAAAAAATTACATTTCAGATCATTTTTACAAGGGCAAAATTTTCTGGTCAATTGTAAAGAATTGTGTAAGTAAAGATTATTCATTTAGACAGTGTTCTCATTTTAACAATAGCTCATTTCTAGTATTTAATTTCATGATGTTCCAAATGATATCCTATCATTTCATAGAATAGAAAAAAATTCCCAATCACTGTTTTGAATATTTCATGTAACTAGACAACAGAACTTTTATGTTGTGAATATATTCTATTGTAGGATATAATTTCTTTTTTATTATTTGGATAAAGAAAATGGGAGAATGATCAAGAAAGAAATGTTTGAATAAACATTTAAAATAAGTTCAAATGTGTTTTTATTAAAATTAAACAGGTTATATTTTAAAATTATTGTATGACTAGTAATTTTGTTAGTCTTTTTTTTTTTTTAAAGATTTATTTTATTTATTCACACAAGCACTGGGGTACAGGCCAGAGGTGCGGGGGGTGAGATGATTCACCAGAGATAGTGTGGGAAACAGAGCAGGAAGATAGACTGAAATACACTGTTGAGGGGAGCAGCGGGTGAGACAGGAGAGGTCTGTGAGCCATGTGGTTTGCTCCCTGGCCAGGGATCGAACTAATGCTGCAGTGGCTGTGGACAGCTTCATAGGTTGCGTCTTAACTCCTTGTGCCATCAGGGAGGCCCCAATTTTGTTAATCTTTAAGATTTATATGAGTAAGATATAGACATTTAAAAATTATGCCAGCATAAGGAAACTAGTGGAAAAGTAATATGATCAATACTAGTAATTTATTAGAAATTATTTAGACCCAGAAACAGGCCCACAGAAATATAGATTTTAACTTTTGACAAAGATATAAAAACAATTCAGTGGGGAAAAGGGTAATCTTTTCAGCCAATGATAATGTAGTAATTAAACATCGGTAAAAAAATGTGGTAAATTTTGACACATACCTCACACCTCATCCAAAAATGGCTCAAAATAGATAGAAGGTAACAAAGGAGTAAAACTAAAACTTGATCAAGTGTTCTTGGACAGGATTCCAAAAACAAGATCTTTAATTATTTGCGACTAGGTTATTTCATAACTTGTAGCCAATAGTTATATCTCTATAAAAAATGTTTTCCCCTAGGGGCTCGGCAGCGGGTTGAGCACAGCACTGTGAAGCTGTCTGCAGCCTCTGCAGCTCAGGCTCGATTCCCGGCCGGCCAGGGAGATTCCCACATGGCGCAGCAGACTTCGCCTGTTGTGGCCCGCTGCTCCCCTCAGCAGTGCTTTCGGTCCTTCTGCCTCTGCTCCATGCTCTGTCTGTGGTGATCTCTCACCCTCACGGGCCTCTGGCCTGTTCCCCCAGCTATTGTATAAATAAAAATAAATAAATCTTTTTTTTAAAAAAAGTCTCCCCCATTAATTTTTTTGGATATCAGTTTGTTTAATAAAAATAATTTTTATTGAATATGAGATGATATTTCTTGAAGGAAAGTGACATCATATGCTTCCATAGAACTACTAGAGCACTTTTTTATTAACAATTTGTCATGATTATTTATTTATTTATTTATATTTTTTTTAGAGGCATGTTTTATTTATTTATTTGTTTGTTTTGTTTTTTGTTTATACTTGCACTGGGTACAGTCAGAAGCGTGGGAGGGTGAGAGAATTCACCAGAGCCAGAGCAGGGAGCAGAGCAGGCAGAAGGACCGAAGTACACTGCTGAGGGGAGCAGCGGGCGGCAGGAGAGGTCTGCGCGCCATGTGGGACCCTCCTCCGGTGGCCGGGGAGCAGCCGGGGATCGAACTGGCGCTGCAGAGGCTGCAGGCAGCTTCGCAACCCAGCGCTCAACCGCTGCGCCACCGGGGAGGCCCTGTCATGATTATTTAAAAGCAGGAAAAAATTCACGATTAGCCAAATTCAAAATCCCTTACATTATATTAGGTTTCAAAGTAAAAATTACTTTGTGATGCACCTGTGTGTACAATTAAGATTTCAGAAAAATTTAGTGATAGTGAGAAATAATAAATTATAATACCACTTTATTGTTAAATACTATCCTTTGCTTCAGAAGATTACAAAATGAAAGAAAATTTTCAGTGAAAAAATGCTGAGATTTCCTTGTAAGAGGTCAAAATGAGCATAAATGTCTAATTTCCTATGACTGAGTTTCTTATGCAAATTAGCAATAAAATGCAAACTGAAAAATAACCAACAGTAATCCTGTAAATTAAATAATGAATGCACTCATATCTAATATGAATTACTCAAAATACTGAAAATAGTATTTTCATATGTTTTGATTATGGAACAACAAACATCATTTCATAAAATAATGTATTGTGTGATAACCTTTAATTCACTATGAAAACAATGTTAGAGCATTTTCACATTTGTTTCAGTTCTCTGTGAACATTTATTTCCTTTTTTTTTCCTTTTTATCTGTTTTTCATTGTATTAATTTTAATTGAGATAATGTTGGTTTATAACACTGCATGTGATTGATTGGTACAGGGTTATACTATTGAGATATATGTTAATGATGGAGGACAAGAATAAAAAAAAACAAAAAAACTGAAATGGAGGTGCCACAAGACCAGAAATCTGGCTAACACAATGCCAAGAGCTGGAAGTGGGAGTAGGGGGTTAGCATAGCCATTGATCCTGCCATAGAAACCAAGTGCCTTAGGCAACAAAGCATAAGATCCAAGCAGGTATCAGGCTGCTGTAGGGAATGTCTAGAGCACAGGCCAGGGTAAAGATAAGGAGATTGAGCCCATTGTAGAATCTCCTGTCCCTTTCAGATTCTACAGTTATCCAAAATCAGCAGCTAACCCAAGGCTCTCAAGGAGTGAGTCCCTCCCAAACAGAAGAAGACTCTATCTGTGCAGTCTCTGCACTGGCTGGGGGCAGCAGTCCCTCTGCCCACCTGTCTCTATGAAGGTGCTTCTTTCACCAACTCTCCCTCTGCAGGACAGCAGCCATCCTGCTTGCCCATGACCTGTACTATGCTGGGACTTCTCACTGACCTCCCTGAGCAGAGGCAGCTCCTCTCAAAACTGCCTGCCTGCAACCACATAGGCCTCTCTCAGCAAACCTGTCCCTTTGGGGCAGCTCCTCCTGCCCACTTGTGTCTATGCGTGTCTTTCACTCTTCTGTCCATTTCCCTAATAAACTTGTTCTTTAAACATAACTAATGTCTCTGTCTTGTGGAGAAACTTGCCTGGGAAACTTGCAGTGTGCCACTGAAATAGGAGCTCTGGTGAAACATTTCCCAGGGTGAACCCAAGGACCCAGCAGTCTAAACCCATCAACTCCAAACACGACATCATTAACATATCACACCCACTAACAAGGCACCCAAAATCCTCTACCATAATCCACGGCCACCCACCTCCCTTTGCTCCCCAACACCCCTCCCGCTCTGGTAGCCTCAATTCTACATCAAGATTTGTATGAGTTATTCTGGTTTTGCTTCATTCATTTCTTCTGTTTGTTATATATTTTACATATGAGTTAAATCATCTGCTACTTGTCCATCTTCTGACTGACTTAGCACATCCCCTCTAGTTTCATCTATGCTGTGGCAATGTTGTCTTTCCCCCTCTGTTAAGTATTTGAACAGATGTGTAGTTCTCAGACAAAATACTTTTTTTGCTTATAATCTTGTTATTCAAATAGAAAAAAGTTTTCTGACTCATTTTTGAAAATGAGAGCAGTGATATTGTTACAGGGCATACCCCGATATAAAATGGGGTTTCCTGAATGTGGGTCCTCACCTGTGTGCTTAAAGGGGACTGATTAATGCTAAACTGCAGACACATAGAAAAGGTTGATAAAAGGTTTATTTACAAGGGAAGAGGAAATGGGAAATGAATAACTCAGGAAGAGAAAGAGGGAGATAAGTTGTAAATGCGTCCTACCATTCCGCTGTCCTGGAATCTCAATGACAGCGGAGCTGACAAAATCCTAGCATGCCTTGTGGCCAAAAAGGGTTGACCCCTGGCCACATGGTCAGTTAAATACCCAAACCGAGAGCCTAGTTGCTTAACTCCGCTCTCAGGTCTTCCCAACCTTCTCTTTGGTGATCATGGGATTTGTAGTTCGCAGTGTCATGAGGGTGGAGTCCACAAAGCCTGTATGGAGTTTGCTCAGGACATCCTTCACCCCATCAACATCATGCATTCAACATAAATCCACAAGGCATATATGGCAGGTGTAATGGGCAGACTGATCTCTGTTTACCATTACATTATATACTGAACTCTATCTTTTAATTTATAATGAAAAATGTTTAGATAAAATTTCACTAGCAACTTTGAAAACTCTGCTTTTCATTTTTACAATAATGTAAAATTTAAATATGAGCATGGATATAAGTAAAACTAACTTGAAAACTTTAGTTTATAGTCACAATGTGTATTTTTAATCTTTTTCTTAAGTAGAGACAAATATTTCATTGCATATAATTATTAAGAGTCCTTCAATTTTAATAAAGCGGCATCATATAAAATCCCAGAAAAGCCTATCTTTAAGTTTTTCTTAACAATTATCTGATTTTTGAAATGTATACATTACTGTTTTAATTTAATCTGTAAATGCATGACTGGGGGTTCCCCAGCACTCCTTGTTCTCGGGTATAGGGTGTATTGTCTTGGTACCCAGAGTTCCTGCTTATCAGGTAGGTGTAAGTTTATGCAGGGGGACTCTCACCAAGGGCAAAAGCCCTGGTATTATAACAGGGTGGTCCCCAGGAGGAGGGTAAGTTACGGGTTCCCTGTCCCACCCAAAGGAGGGTGGAGCTGAGCAGGGAGAAAAGAAACTGGAGAAGAAACTGAGGAAGGAAGGAAGCAGGATGAAGAGCCTGAAGGAGATCTGGAGGAGGTGTAACAGGGTGGTCCTCAGGAAAGGGGGAGGTTTCTTGCCCCACCCAAGGGAGGGTGGAGCTGAGCAGGAAGAGAAGAGGAAGCTGCAGAGGAGACTGAGGAAGGAAGAAAGCAGGATGGAGCCAGAAGGAGACCTGGAGGAGGTGCTTGGAGCCAGGAGACACATGAAGAAACTGCGCTTGTCTTTTGGTCGTGGACTGGGTGACACAGATGTGGGTGAGACCCGTGGGGAGGTGACAATGGCAGCTTTTATCTTGATTTTGATTTTGTTCTTTTCCTTCCGGGCTTGTCTGGTTGTTTCTGACCCTTTTCTGTGGGTCCCCACTGGAAGGTGCTTTAGACTTGTGGCAGGCTTTGGGGCCTTGCTCTGGGCCAGTCCCATTTGGATGGAGTTTTACCCACGAGGGGATGGGTAACTTTGGGTGCTTGATTTAGAAACTATATTCTTTGCCTTTCCTGTATTGTTTCCTAGTTGTATTAAAGTTCCTTCCCATTAAAGTCTCATATGTTTTGTGTTGATGCGTTGGATAGCAGAACCCTACATAAAATAGGCAGGTTTGCGGGGTTTGGGCTGCCCCTCTCCCTGCTCTATTAACAGAGGCACATGGAGCAGAGAGACACATGAAGAAATTGTGCTTGTCTTTTGGTCATGGACTGGTTGAAACAGATGTGGGTGAGAGACTGTGGGGAAGATAACAATGGCAGTTTTTGTCTTGATTTTGATTTTGCTCGTTTCCTACAAAACTTGTCTGGATGTTTCTCACCCTTTTCTGTGGGTCCCCACTGAAAGGTGCTTCGGACTTGTGGCAGGCTTTCGGGCTTTGCTCTGGGCCAATCCTGTTTGGATGGACTTTTACCCATGAGGGGACGGGTAACTTTGGGTGCTTGATTTAGAAACTATATTCTTTGCCTTTCCTGTATTGTTTACTAATTGTATTACAGTTCCTTTTCATTAAAGTCTCCTATGTTTTATGTTGATGTGGCGGATGGCAGAATCTATTTTGAGCAGGCAGGTTTGGGGGCTCTGGGGTTCCCATGTCCATGCCCTGTAACAGTATGAGAAACATACTGGCAAACCAGTATATGCTGAAAACAGCAGGCAGATATTAGCATAGAGATAATATGCTTTGACTAGTAGGAACAATGGAGCCCCCCAGGCAATAGCCCCTGGCTACAACACCCTAACTTAGATCTGTAATAACTGCTTCCCCTTGCATGTACCCTCCCTACTTACTTGCCCCTTCTTTGTACTTGATGTTAATAAATATGAGACTGCCTTTGGATCAGGGTTGCACATTATTTCCAGTGTAGCCCCTCTAGGCTTCTCATTGCTCCACATGGACTTTGAGTAATCTTTCCTCATCCTGGCACAGTTTCCAACACTGCTGCCCCATGAGACAATACATGACAAATACAGGACTTCTGCTCACTTTTCTGACAGTTTATTTGGTTTAGAGTTGCTTGACTCTTCCTCTGCATATATAGATCTAGAAGGCAGAATTAGCAGACTACAGAAATATTGAGGGGAAATTTAATTCCCAGTTCTTCTCATGGGTGAATGTAGTAGGAAATGATTGAAGATAAGCTCTCAAATAGGCAAATATAAGCTTTTAAAAGATATCAATGGAAGACAAATATCAATTAATTGAGAGTTAAACCAAAATTATGTGAAAATTGTTATGAAAAAGAACTAGTGGTATTGAACAGTCACATATATTCATACATTTTGGAGGTAAATATATGTATTATCAAATAGTAACTGATTTTTTTCTGTTAAGTTAATGCTTTTTGTTCTTGATTCTTTTTTGTTTTGTTTTTATGTTAGTTTACATCATTGTTTGCATTATAGCTGTGAAAATTCTCTCCCCTTCTGGCATTGTTACCATAATATATCCACCCTCAAAGAATTCACCATCATAGACTCTTGTGCTGCATTCTCCATTTGGTTGTGCTTGATTCTTATATTTATGTGATACCTGTATAAAGTTTCTGAAAACTCCTTGGGTAACTTAACGTGAAGGGAATACACATGGAAAGAGCAGATTATTGAACAGTTTATTTTGAATTGAAAAATTCATTTTCAATTGAATTTTTGAAATTTCTGATATAGATAATAGTTTCTTTTAGAGTATTAGTAGTTAAAATACATGCAAATTATAGCTTTGGAAAAATGTATTGTGATGAAGCAATATTTAATACTAAAGATTTAATAAAGAACAGGAACAAATTGGAGAGAAAAGCAAATGTTAGAGTTTGCATCCTCAACCAGGCCAAACCCTGGGACTTGCAGTAGAAATTTTGAGATGGTCGGACACTGAGAAGAGAAGGCAGACATCTATATCATAGGTGGTGCCCAGGAAATAAAGATCTTTGGAGTTGTATTATACTACTCTAGCATTATGACCCCATGGAAAACAAAAATGGTAGCATGTGTTTTCTAAAGAGAAAGGCCTGATGCCAACAACAAAAAAATGCATTTCAAAGACTCCTGAAGGCAGTTTCTGGTGCAGTGTTGTAGTATAAATCTGCTTCACTCCTCAAATCCTACCCTGCGATACCATCACAAGGACATGGAAGAGTAAATGCAATTTTCTAATTACAATTTTTTTTAAGTTTTATTTATTTATTTATACAAGAACTGGGGTACAGTCCAGATGCGCAGGAGGGTGAGAGGATTCACCAGAGACAGAGCGGTGAGCAGAACAGGCAGACTGACAGAAATACACTGCTGAGGGGAGCAACGGGTTAGGCAGGAGAGGTCTGCTGCGCCATGTGGGACCCTCCCCGGCTGGCCGGGATCGAACCTGGACTGCAGAGGCTGCGGACAGCTTCACAGTGTGGCACTCAACTGCCTGCACCATGGGGGGAGGCCCCTAATTACAATTTTTAAAACTGAAGTTACTGATAACCTTAGATGCTACTGCATTTAACTGAAAATATCTAGCTTTAGTTTTTTTAGTCATGTGAAAAGGAAGTTTGAAATAGAGATGAATTATGGTTATAAGGATATTTTAAAATAGCTCTTTAGTATATATCATTTTGTTATGAGGACTCATTACATCAGTTGAAAACTAAAATTAAAGAATCTAATAGGAGAAAAATACATGAAATGTTAAATGTTAGTAATAAAAATCTAGGTAATATATAAAGAAATCAGGAAGTGACTATTAATTTTTATTATAATTTCCAGAGTCAAGGTACTCTTTCATTTTGAGGATAATTTAATCTGAAACTTATTTGTAAATATAAATATAATACTTTAACATAAGTTCATACAAAAGTAAAAGTAGTATGTTTATTATGCATGAGTAAAAAAATCCAAGAAAGCATTGTGCGCAGTAAAAGATTATATAAAATGAGAAAAAAAGAAAGGAAGCCAAAAATACAGCAAGTACAATAAAAGATAAAAGAAGATATGTATCAGTTTATGCAACAAATTGTTTCTTGGAATGGGTTCCAAATTGAAACCTATCTATAGATGCTTACAGTGCTGTATTTAAAATGATACAAAAACTAAAACACAAAACAGCATAAGGCAAATCCCAAATGAAATATGTATAAAAAAATTCCAAAAAAGCAGGTGTCAGTATATTCTTTTAAGATAAAGTAGAATTCAAAGTAGAAAACATTAAGTTCAAAAAAAAGATCATTCTTATTTAGAAACAGTACAGTACAGTACAAAAAAAGCTGTATTTTGCAGGAAACAATGAACCACTGTAAAATACCTAAGAGAATATCAAAATATATAAAGGGAAAGAGATACATGAGGGGAAAAGAAATAGTAAGAAATGTTACTCAGTTTTTTGTGTATCATAGAGGTGAAACTATAATAGATAGTAGGTTTTTATATAGCTGTTCTACATGCCAGAGGCTGTTTTAAGTGGTTTGCATGCATTTATTTAATCCTCACAACATCCCTCTCAGGTTATATTCTCCAATTGTTTAATATAAGAAATCTAAAACAGACATACGTTAAAATTTTGCCTAAAGCCACACAGTTGGTTATGGAATTTGAATTTTAAGCTAGGCAGCTGAACTCCAGAATTCAGACTTGGATCCACAACATTGCTATAATTGTAGGTGATATAATTAAGATTTATTTAATAATTGTCCAAATATGAACTTTAGTCATTTAACTGCATCTTTCCAAGTTTCAGTGGGAATGTGTGGAAAATTATTTCATTAATGAATTTTAATAAATTCAAAACAAACTGACAGAAGTTGCCAACAACTGACAAAGTGGAAAAAATATTAATAAAAGTTAAGATAATTCAACATAACAGGATTAATATTCCTGTTGTGGTATGCACGGAAGACACTGAAGTGGCAGGTCCACTGCACACAAGTCATGGTTCAGGGATGTGAAACCCAAGTTGTGTTTGACCAAGGGAGGGAGATTAAGTCAAAGACTTGCTGGGAGTGGGGTGGCCTTAGTAAAGCCACAGAGACATATGAGAGTAGGTTTCCGGAAACTGCATATATCATTACTTCTGCTACATTGGTGCAAGATGAGAAGTCAAAAGGGATGGCTGAAAAGATGATTAAAGTCAATCTTTTCTACAATAGGTTAAATCCTGAGAGATCTGTTAAAATTGAGTATTATTTCCATCAAAAGGTTACATATATGAAGTTTTAAAAGGAAAATTCGTACTCTAAGGCTTATGAAAATATAATAGCAGGCCCCTGGCCTAATTATTCCTAGGAGCTTCCACTTTATCCTGTTTATTTTGACATTTATTCTTTTATATTTAAATACTACTCATATACTAACCGTTCTTTCCTTCTTTCTTTTTAAAATTCACACGTATAATTTTTTGGTCATGTTTCAAAATATTTGCTCAAATTTGAGATGCATATTCCTCTGTCTTATCTTAAAGAAATGAAGACATAAAAAATTAAAATAATTTGCCTAAAGTCTTAACAAGTATTTTAAGTAAAGTCAAACAATTTTTTTTTAAAGATTTATTTATTTATACAATAACCGGGGTACAGACCAGATGCACGGGAGGGTGAGAGGATTCACCAGAGACAGAGCAGAGAATAGAACAGGCAGACTGACGAAATACACTGCTGAGGGGAGCAGCAGGCATGAGAGGAGAGGTCTGCTGCGCCATGTGGGACTCTCGCTGGCCTGCTGGGATCGAACCTGTGCTGCAGAGGCTGCGGACAGCTTTCCAGTGCTGCGCCCAACCACCTGTGCCGCCAGGGGAGA